CATCGTCACGGAGTCGAAATCGAATCGGATCGGCTGCGCCAGGATGCACAACAGCGCCATGAGACCGTGGGAACCTGCTTGGTTCAGAACGGGAAGCGCAAAATTTGTCCAGTGTGCTCGTAGGGGGAACATAATGAAAGGAAGATGGCAACGACAAGGTGGCGGATGACGAGGATGACAGCGTGGATGACGGGTAGGGTAGCGAAGGGAGCAGGAGGAGAACAAGTAGGAAGACAAGCGCGAGGACGAGGAGGAAGAGATGGAGGAGGAGATGGAGGAGGACGAAGGAGGACGGCAAGGACCCCGAGGAAAAGGACGTAGAAGAATGGGGGTCGTCCTCGTGATCTCTTGCGGCTACCCTTGGGACTGTTGGGGCCGTCTAGAGCTATCTTGGGGCATCCTGGGAGCCTCTTGGAGGACTGTCGGTGTCTTCTTGGGCTGTCTGGGAGTGTCTCAAGGCTTTGTGGGGGCTCTCTCACGCCGTCTTGGCGCCATCTTGGGCTGTCTTGAACCATCTGGGGGCCTCCTGGGGGCCTTTGGGGGCTCTTTTGGGTCGTTTCGAAGCCATCCCGGATCGATTCGATTTTAAGACGGTACTGGTTCGGCGTTGCCTCCGAAACTGGATGTTCGAACATGTCTCGAGCGAAACGGACATGTGTCAGAGACCTGATCGGACAAGCACGGGGAGCGCCAAGTTTGTCCATTGGGCTCGCAGGGGGGAAAGAAGGAAGGGAAGATGGCAATGACGAGGATGACGAGGATGACGAGTGTGGACAGGATGACAGTGTGGATGACGAGGATGACAGTGTGGACGACGAGGGTGACAGTGTGGATGACGGGAAGGGAAGCGAAGGGAGCAGGAGGAGAAGAACACGTAGGAAGACAAGCGCGAGGACGAGGAGGACGAGATGGAGGAGGACGAGCACGCGGAGGAACGAAGCGGAGGAGAATGAGGAGGAGGAGGAGGACGACGACGACGAAAGAGGACGGCAAGGAACCCGAGGAAAAGGACGTTGAAGACTGGGGGGGGGTCCTGGTGATCTTTTGAGGCTACACTGGGGGCAGCTGGGGCCGTCTGGGGCTATCTTGGGGCATCCTCAGGGCCTGCTTGGGGGCCTGTCAGAATCCTCTTGTGGGCCTGCCTCAAGGTTCTGCGGGACTCTCTCACGCCGTCTTGGTAGCATCTCGGGCTGTCCTGGGCCGCCTGGGCGCCTCCTGAGGCTCTCTTAGGGGGCCTCTTCGAGCACTCCGCGGGTCCTCCAGGGGGCTTTGTGGGACTCCGTTGGGCCACGGCGGGCACTTCCAGAAACGATTCCAAGACGATATTGATTCGGAGCTCCGTCCGGAAACATTCATTTGTTTTGAAGATGTCTCGGGCGAAACGGCAACATTTGAGAAACCTGACCGGGCGATAACGTGAAGTGCCGCTTTTGTTTGCGAAACTTGTTTAATAACGTCCTGCCGAGAACGTCAAGACCATCGGTCTGCCGTGTTCCTGTGCTGTTATGATCTGCCGCGCTGGTCTGCCGTGTTGCTGTGGTCTGCCGTGCTGGTCGGCCGTGTTGCTGTGATCGACTGTGGTCTGCCGCGCTGAAGTGAAGTGAACTGTAGGAGCCACATAATCTAAGTGTGAAAATCGGGTCCACTAGGGACCTCTGCCTCGGGAGAAAAGGGGGGCAACCAACAAACTTCGTCGTGTTGCTGTGGTTTGCTGTGCTGGTCAACCGTGTTCCTTTGGCCTGGCGTGCTAGCTTGGAATGCTTATGTGGTCTGCCGTGCTGGTCCGCCTGGTTCCTGTGATCTGCCGTGCTGGTCCGCCGTGCTCCTATGTTGAGGTTCTGGTTCTGCGGGGCCTATAAAGGCTGGATGGGGGCACCACTGAGGCGCCAAAGCCCGAGGCCTCCTCTGGGCCTGTCCCAGAGGGCCTACGAGGGCCGTCCCCGTGCAGGGCGTGCGCAGCGCGCGCGAGCCCCAGGAGGCAGAAAAGCGGGCGCGGAGCCACTTCGGGCCCCACGCCACCCCTGGAGGGCCTAGGAGCCCTAGGGGGCCCATCCCCAGACATGCGGAAGGGGAAAGGGCGAAGCCCCGAATTCCCACAAACCAGCCCTGGAAACATCTCAACCCAGAGTGACCCTTCGAGCCAAGCGAGAAGAGGAAGAAACGTGCGCAGCAAACCTAAGGCAAGGTATTCAACACACGTAAGCAGCAGTGCCTGCGGAACATCACTCATGCCGGGCGAGGCGGCCCCCAGACCCCTCGAAGACACACGGCAGGCCTGCCCTGCACCTCACCCCGACGGAACCAATCTCAAGCCAACCTGCCTTCCAGCGCAGGAGCTGCACATCCTTCTTAGCAGCCCGCAGCTGCTCCTGCAGGGAGCAAATGTGGGCTACCATCGACCAGTCGGCGAGCCATCGCCGCACTTCGCCCTCGGCGTCCTCGGTCGGCGCGGCCAGCTCCTCGAATCCCGCGGCAGCTCGACCGCCGACTCCGTCTCCACGGAGGAGTGTGGCTTCTTTCTCGCCGACGTAGTTCGCGATCACTCCACTAAGCGCCGACGCAGCGGTGGCGGAGCAGGCCGTGGCCGCATCGCCGTCGGCATGCTCCTGCCCCTGGCCGCCTACGCTGTCGTCGTCGCTGTCGTTGTGGCTGGCGGCCTCGCCCAGACGGCCGCTGACGGACAACAGCAGCGGCGAGGACTCGCCAGCCGCGGGCACGGCGTTGTCCCCGAAGGCGCCGCCGTCGTCCCCGTCGCCGCCGCACTCGCTCTCGCCGTCGTAGCTCTCGATGCCCAGCGCGTCCAGCAACGGGTCGTAGGGGTCGGCCCGCTGGCGCTCGCCCTCGGCCTCAGCTTCCAGAACAGCGAGCCGCCAGCCCGCCGCAACCCCCTGCGCGAAGGCCTGGCCCGCGGACGCCGCGACGAGGTCGAAGTCCTGCCACGCACCAGGCGCCGGCGCCCCCGCCGGCGGAAGGGCGCGCGGCTCGACGCGGAACTCAGAGAGCGCCGAGGGCTCCTTCGCATCGCCGCCGGCTGGCGCGCTGCCCCACTCGCGCGAGTAGACCTCGTGCCGCGCCCCAGGAGGCGGCTCCACGGCCAGAGGCGCCGCGAGCGGCGCGGCGCCCAGGGCCTGGGTCTGCGCCAAGGCCGCCTCGGCAACCTCAGCGCGGCGCGCTTCGGCCGGGACAGGCCGCGGGCGAGCTCGTCCTGGAGGCGGCGCGCGCCGCGCCCAGGTACCCTCCTCGAGGTCGAACTGGGCATCGATCAGCACAGCAGGCGCGGCGCCGAGCAGCCTCGCAGCTGCCGGGGCGTCGCCGTGGCAGGGCGCGAAGCCGCCGAGGATGTCGGCGAGCTGCCAGTGCGCCGCCAGCGCACGCCGCCGGACCTTGGTCCGCTGCGCCAGCGCAGCGGCCCTGGCGAGCCCGAGCTCCTAGCGGCGCGCGCGCCGCAAGCGCCGAGCCAGGGTGCGGGCAGACGCAGGCGCCCAGGCCGCCCCGCACCCAGAGTGGCCCATGGCCTCTGGCGGGCGCGCCCGCGCGCCCGAGGGCCTGCTGTAAGCCAGGCTCGCTTGAGCCAAAATGGCGATGTAATGCTCCTATGGTCTGCCGTGCTCGCGTGGTCTGCCCCGTGCTCTTGTTGTCTGTCTTGATGCTGTGGTCTGCCATGCTCCTGTGGTCTGCCGCGCTAGTATTGGTATTCTGGGGCCCAAGGGCCACGGCAAAGGCGAAGGGGTGGAGGCACTGACGGCCACGGGAAGCAAACGCAAGGGGCGCGGTGGTCGGTGCACCTCAAAACTCACACACGCTGCCGACGCTGCAAGTCGCACCCACCCCGCAACAGTAGCCGCAAGATCCTGTCGCTTTACTTACTCTTCCACAGGCCAGACCCACAAAATCAGCAAGGGATGTCGGGTCAAATCCGGCCGAACGCTCGGCGCACTTTCCCTTTTTCAGGCCAACCCAGATGCCGGTCCAACTGGGCGCTGGCGGGCAACCAAAGACGGCGCCCCGCGCAAGCGGCAAAGCGCCGCCGCGCTCTCTGCTCCTCAGAAGGCTCGGGGGGGCCCACGAGACGCCTCCACTCGCGTTCCTCCGTCGTCGCCTCAGCCTCCATCGCCCATTCCTCGAGGCTGGACTCGTCGAGACCGTGGGCGGAGATTCGGATGAACCGAAGGCCCGCTGGTCGCGGGTCGCGACGACGTCGCACAGGCCTGCGCTGCGCTCGAGCTCGCAGCTCCGTGGCCCTTCGCCTACACCGCTGGCTCCTCGTAGTCGGGCTGGTGGCCGAGACGTTCCAGGAACTTCGCCTTGAACTCCTCGGTCACAGGCTCTGGCCGAAGCTCACGACGTGTTTTGACATGGCGCCTTCCTGGGTGGGGGCCTCTCTGCCGCGCGCCGCATGGTTCTTGAGGCGAATCAGCAGCTTGGGCACCTTTACGCAGTTGTTCGAGCTCGGGCTGGGTGCCGCCTCGTCCTCCCAGCTGCGCGTGCGCTCCGCAGCTGGAGCAGCCAATGAGCCCCGCTTCTTCGTCTCTATCTCCTGTGGCATAGCGAAAGGCATGCCCGAAAACCGCGAGGCCCACGATGCCGAGCTGGATGCCCTGGCCCCGGGCCGCCGCCTTCATGCGGGCAGTATTTCTCCTCTTGGCGCCCTCCTGCTGCGGCGCCGGCTCCTCGAAGGTGGCCTTGGGCATCTTCCTGTCCTCGCCCTCGGGGGCGCCCTGCGTGCCCCTCTGGGCCCGCGGCTGGCGCTCGATGGAGGCCTCGACAATTCAGCTGCCTAGCTCGGGCATGGCAGCTCCGAAGGCGCAGAGGTCCCTGGCGGTCTGCTGCGAGACCTCGCGCAGCCTGTCTCCTCTTTTGGCCATGACGTCTGCGTGCTGGTTGCCGCGCACCTGGGCGTCGGGCA